GGATGAACACAGCAGGCCAAGCAGCATCAGAGGAGCAGGAAGGCTGACGTTTCGGGCCTAGACCCTTCTTCAGAAATCCTCTGATGCTGCTTGGCCTGCTGTGTTCATCCAGCTCTACACCTTGTTATCTCAGATTCTCCAGCATCTGCAGTTCCTACTATCTCTGAAACAGTTTAATTTGGCATCATGTTCAGCACAACATCGTGGGCTGAAGGGCCTGTTCCTGTGCTGTACAATTCTATGTTCTGTTCTAAGTTCTAAATCATGGCTGACCAACTCTGTCCCCTGTTCCTACTTTCTCCCCGTGCCCTTATAGAGGTTTTTAAAATTGTGAGGGGCATGGATAGGGTGAATAGCCAAGGTCTTTTTCTTAGGCTGGGGGATCCAAAACTAGAGGGCATAGGTTTAAAGTGAGAGGGGAAAGATTTAAAAGGGACCTGAGAGGTATCTTTTTCACACAGAGGGTGGTGCAGGTATGGAATGAGCTGCCAGAGGAAGTGGTGGAGGCTGGTACAATTATAACATTTAAAAGACACCTGGATGGGTACATGAATAGGAAGGGTTTAGAGGGATATGACCAAATGCCGGCAAATGGGCCTAGATTTATTTAGAATATCTGGTCGGCATGGATGATTTAGACCGAACGGTCTGTTTCCCTGCTATATAACTCAATGACTTTCATCTCTTTAGAACTGTACGACACTGTTGCAAGCAACAATCCCAGGAAAAACAAAATCAAAGAGGCTTTTTAATTCCCTTTCTCTATTTTTTTGTCCAAGGCTATGGATTATTATTTCCAAAAAGGTAATAAGGACTGGCAGTCAAATATCAGCCAATCTTTTGCTTTCTGATTGGGGACTGTCATTAAGATGGACATGTTGGGTGACCAATGGCTGGAGGAAGTGGGAAGATCTCTAGGAATACATCCAGCTAGAGTTGGCAAGCCTGCTCCCAATGGAGATGGGTTACCTATTGTGCACTGTATCCTATGACTTTAACCCACTTCCTGCAGCAAACAAGAGATTGAGTTAATAAGTATCACTTCATGTGATTCAGGCACAGCTCTTATGCAATTATCCTCAAACCGAGCGGTTTACCTGCAAAAACCGAAAAAACTGCGGATGCTGTAAATCAGGAACTGAAACAGAAGTTGCTGGAAAAGCTCAGCAGGTCTGGCAGGATCTGTAAAGAAAAAATCAGAGTTAATGTTTCGAGTCCGGTGACCCTTCCTCAGAACAGGTCTGGGGAAGGGTCACCAGGCCTGAAATGTTAACTCTGATTTTACAGATGTTGCCAGACCTGCTGAGCTTTTCCAGCAACTTCTGTTTTTGTGCTCGGTTTACCTGCAAGTTTGGAGTCCACCACGTTGCCATGCTTCGGGAGTCACATACAGACCAGGCTGTGTAAGCTTGGCCGATTTCCTTCCCTAAAGGGCATGAGGACAGCAAGATGGGTTTTTAACAAAAAAAAGATACTTCTGTGCTTACCATTCTTGGAACTGCCTTTTAATTCCAAGCATTTTTGATTGATTCATTGAATTTAAACTCCAACCAGTTACCTTGGTGGTGTTTGAATCCGTGTTCTGAGAATATTAAACTAGATTACTACGGCCAGTGCTATTCCTACTACACCACACTATCCCCAATGTTGTAAATGGCGACTTGTAAACTTTTCACTGTATCCATGTGAATACATGTGACAATGAACCTAATTCATTTAGTCATACTAACATCAGGAATTGTGACCAGGAAAATGGGAGGTGTCTGTGGTTTCTAATGGTTGGCATGTGCTTCTCCAGGAATTCTTGGGCCTCCCTTATCCCAAACTGACTTCCCAAACACCTCCATTCCAAGCTAGCCAGCCAAATGGACAGCAGGAGAAAACATCGACCCAGCTCGCCAGCTAAAACCAATTGTAGAGCCTGGGGCTTACGATGGCACAATCTCCTCACTGTGTGAAAACAAAATGACAGTCGGGCTTCAGTAAGGTAACCCCAGCTCAGGGTGAAGCGGGAGGCTGACAACAACAGGGGCAGTTAGATAGATGAAACAACAGTGCAGATTGACGTTTTGTAGCTTTCTAAAAGGCGCTAGTGAAGAGCAGAGCATCATCTCTACCATTTATAGACAGTTTTAGGTGAGAAGGGAAAGATTTAAAAGGGGCCTGAGGGGCAATTTTTCAACACAGAGAGTGATGCGTATATGGAATGAGCTGCCAGAGGAAGTTATTAGAGGTGGCTACAATGACAACATTTAAAAGATATTTGGACAGGTACGTGGATAGGAAAGATTTAGAGGGATATAGGCCAAATGCAGGACAAATGGGACTAGTTCAATTTGGCAAACCTGGTCAGCATGGACGAGTTGGGTTGAAGGGTCTGTTTATGTAAGACATGACTCTATGACTCTAGGAGAGAAAAGTTTACACATGTTGAATAGCTGGAAGATGTGGATGTTCAGACAAATTTGTTGAGAAATTTTGCAGTGATTTCCAACCGAAGACAATATCAGGGCGGTTGGTGATGCAGTGGTAATGTTACAGGGCTAGCAATCCTGAGCTCCAGGTTAGTGCTCTGGGGCCATGGTTCAAATGGAAGCTGGTGAAATATAAACTTATTTAATAAATCAGGAGTGTCAAACCAATCTCTGTAATGGCTCATGATCCAGTCTGACCTGCTTCTGACTCCAGACCTACAGCAATGTAGTAAATTCTTAACTGCCCTTGGAAATGGGCTACACTCATAGAGTCTTACAGCTTGGAAACAGACCCTTTGGTCCAACTCATCTGCACCAACCAGACATCCCAATCTGGTCTAGTCCCACCTCAAGAACAATTAGGAATGGCTATCAAATGCTGGCTGCTTTTTCTTCATTCATGAGATGGAGGTGTCTCTAGCTGGACAGTATTTATGGCCTATCCACTAATTGTCCTGAGGTGGTGAGCTGCCCTCTTGCATTGCTGTGGTCCATGTGGCGTAGTCAAGCCACACTGCTATTAGGAAGGAGTCCCAGGATTTTGACCCAGAAACAGCAAAAGAACAGGGATATATTTCCAAGTCAGGACAGTAAATGTCTTGGAGAGGAGAACACAACTGGTGCTGTCATACACTTGCTGCCATGGTTCTTTGAGATGGTGGAGGTTATGAGTTTGGAAGGTTCTGTTAAATAGGCCTGGGTGAGTTAATGCAGTGCAATTTGTACA